GATTCGCATGCCCTGATAACAGATATCACCAATCTATCATATGGATTTGTTGGATCAATAACATCATATATATATATATGATACTCTGATAAATATTCAGTAACTCACCTAAGTGGTAGAATCATGGAATAATCTATGATTGTAATGTAATGTAACCAAATAATAAAAAATAAGTAAAACCATAAACTCTTGGGCATACTTACCATCAGATTGAGGAGATTTTCACTTCGACCAAGGTTACGATCCTCTCATCACCCTTTGTCTTCACTAGAGTCCTTGGTTCTCAAAGGGAAGGAATGGAAAAACAAAGGGACAGTGGTAGGGGTGTCACCTCTTGATCTTGGGACAGAGCAAGGATGAGTGACGATGTCGGCCGGCGGTGCACCAAGAACAAAGAAGAAGGGTCGATGGCGGCAAAGGGAGGAAATATGTGGAGGATTTTGGGGAGATCGCTGCCCCGGTTAGTGGAGCAGCGGCGGGGTAGGTGGGAGTGAGGGGCCTAGGCTAGGGTTCGAATGGGTGCTATGTTTATATACAAGTGAGGTGGGAGATCAACGTCTAGGACTAGATCCGACGGCTAAGGATCCTGAAGAAGAGTTGTCCAGTGATCCATTTTGTATAACTATGTTGAGCCTTTTTTATAGTTTGATATCCATACTAATGGTGCTTCCTAATTCTACCATTGTACGAAGTATCAAAGTTAATGCTAGCTATGGTGAACCTAAGTTAATGCTAGTTAGTTAAGTGGCATGCCATTTTATTTTATTTCTTACTCCAAAGTTAATCACAAGGTATACCATGTTAATTCGTTTTAGCAAGTTTTAGGTTGACGTAATGACCTAAAAAGTGGAACTTGTGTCCCCAAATACGATAGATATAAGTACTTAAGGTGCACAATTTAAATTTGAGGTAAGTCAAACTTCACTAACTTTGACCAAGTTTAAACATACATTAATATTGTCGATAATATGAGCCCCAAAAGTGACCTCACCGAAGCCAAAAGTGACACCCAAATTGGGAGTCATGAGGCAAGTATAGGCAAAGATGTGTGTGCGCGCGCGTGCATATGCATGTGTGTGTTGTGCATGTGTGCGGCGTGTGTGTGTGCGCTCGCTCGTGTGGGTGTGTGGAAACTAATTCCATTTATTGTAAGCAACTGGAATGCCAACCTATAGATCAATGGAAACTTTATCGGCAACCCTACCCCCAGACTATGAGGAGGGATAAAGAATCCTTCGTCGACATCCCATAGATCTTCAATCTGTATATGCATAACTGCGATCTCCATCTCATAACCGCACCCAACACATTGTGCACAATCAATACAAAAATTCATGACACACTGGACATAGGGCACCCCCATAACTGCACCAATAGAAATATGTGTCATGCATTTTGCTTTCTATAAAAGCAGGGTTTTCCTCCATCAAAAAAAGAAATATGTGTCATGCGTGCTACCCCTCTAATCTACTACGTGCATATTACTCGTCGGAGGTAACAAACGACATCAAATGGTGTGTCGGGTAGAGGACCATCACGCGCAGATTCATATGTATGGATCAAATGAGTTTCTTCACCAACATCGTCTGTGGAGTCGCTCAGTGTGTCACAGTGTCCTCAGCGTCCCACAGAGTCATTTGGCCTCCTGCGGTGGCGCTCAGCGACTTGCTATGACCACTGTGGCATCCAACCTCCCACGCAGCGCCGGGCATCCTGCATCTTGCAAACGGCATTGACAATATCACACCAGGCGACGACATCACTTCGGCAGCCTAGACTTCATTGATCAACTCGGCAGGGCACGAGGCCCACACCGCCACCTTCACCGGTGATGAGGGTTTTCACTTCGAGAGCTTGGGCTTCGTTCATCATCGACTTTCATTTTTTTCGTGGCGACACACGACAGCTTCCCACGAGACTGAGCATCCCATGATAGCGGCAGCCCTCCACGACACTCATCATACTGCGATGGATAGAGTAGCAGCCTACCACGGTGCTTGTCCTACGGCGCGACACGACATCCCCGCAGCACCTCTTGAACCCCCTTGACGGGCACTCGGCAGCCCACGGCGTAACTCGATGTTCACTCAGCCTCGTGTTATGGCACTCGGTCTTTCGCCGCCTCCTGGTGTAGTCCGTATGTATTTCTACGAGGGTCTGTTTGGCAGGGTTTCTCCCTGGCTCCGGCTCTGGCTCCTCCAGAGAAGCTCTGCCAAACGTTTTGTAGGAGGAGCCGTTTTTCAGTGAAAAACAGAGGAGCTGGAGCTATTTTGGAGGAGCCACAAATTCCAGAGGAGCCCCTCAAGAGGAGCTGTGCCAAACACCCCCTGAATTTGATCAAGAGAAATCTGACTTAGGAAGCTTTGTGCATTTTACAATTGAAGGTAGAAGTCAATGGTTTATTTTCTTGAGAACCATTACTAAGGGTTCGACTCACTCCAAGCAGCGGCTGTGATGGAATAAGCTCAGTCCCGGGGGGCGTCGGCGCAATTTGCCGCCCGGGGTGCCGTCCACGCTAAAATGGACTGGAAAGGCAAGCGGCGGCTGTTTCGCCATTTTCTGAGTCTGCCGGTGCTGGATCAGCGGCGTCGTTTGTGCTCATCACGCCTCGCTCCGCCCCTTTTGTGCACAGTCACACTGGCCCTCTTTCGGTGGCGTTTCGGCCTCTTGTGCGCCAGCTTTCCGAGACCCGACGAGCGAGCTCTCCTCGCGTCTCTCGCGGCGTCCAAGCATGCGCGCAACGCAAGCGTCTGTGCCTTCCTTGGACTCGTGCGGTGCAGGGTGGGCTCAGGCCTCAGGGGGCACGACTTTTCTGGACGCGGAGCTCTTGGCGCCACAACCTCCAACGAACTTACCTAACCCATCGTCTTTACTCTCCCCTACCAAGTGTTCGCGAGAGGCCTCAGAGCGTTGGTGAGGGACCGATCTGTTTCAGGTAGCTAGGAATTGTGAACTATAGCTTCTATAATCCTTCTCTGAAGCAAACAACTACTTTTATCTGCTACTGCTTATATATGCATAATGGAAGCCATGAAAGCTATACAAAGTCTAGAAACTGGGGAAAGCAGAGTGCAAAGCTAGAGTTTGACAGAATGACCTTCCTTCTTCGTCAGCACCAATGCACCATCCACTTCTGCAGAAAAGATATACCAAAGAACAACACTTCAGAAAGCAGATTTAGGGAGGCAGCTTCTTCTCAATGGCACTTTTTTTATGAGAATTCCAAAGGGCCCAAGTCAACTTTCAAATACAAAAAGGACTAACCTAGATTCTACAGTCCATATCGCTGGATTATAACAACTAAACAATTTGCTGTGCCGGGTTTCTATCAGATTGCGACCCTAATAATGTCTATCCATGCACCTCGCCATTACATTAAATATACCGGGCTGCGCGTACCGGCCCAACAGGCCTTCTTACTCTCTACGTCTCACCATTTATGTCCCCATCGCTCTCGACCATCGCGTGTTGCTGTGTCATGCCCTTGCTGCTGCCGTCTTCCCCGCCGCGCACCCTATCTCGCGTCGCCGCACTGCGCCACGCTCCATATCCCGCTCCGCGCCTCCTCCATCGCCGCACTGCGCTCCATCCTCCGTCGCGCTCGCTCCAGCTTGCTGCGCGCCGTGTCCCCCGCTACTGTGCACCGTGCCCCGTCCCCCCGCACGCCGAGATGCTGCCGACACCATCGTTCCCCACCAGAAGGACATGGCCGCTATCGACGCCATGGCTGCCGTGATGCGTGACCTCGGCAAGGAGATGTTGCGATGAAAGCGCATGTTGCAAGCGTATGTTTCAAGTGTTTTAGATGTTTCATAGGTGTGTTGCAATTGTTTCATATGGATGTTGCAAAGGTAGATCAGGGATGTTGCACATGTTGCATATGTTGCAGGTGTTTCGGAGGCATGTTGCAAGTGTTTCAGAGGTTTGTTCGAAATGTTTCATCTGTTCCGCCTATCCGCCTTGATTCTAGACGTATGTTGCAAGCGTTTTGATCTGGATGTTGCATATATATTACACATATGTTGCAATAATATGTTTCAAATGTTTTAGTGGTTTTAGTCTTATGTTGCAGTAAGTGCTTTCATTTTGCAAGTTACAAGTGTTTTATCTAGATGTTGCATATGTTTCACACATATGTTGCAAGGTATGTTCGAGTTGTTTCATCTATTGCATACGTATGTTGCTTTCGAGTGTTTCATGTTGCACATCTTTCATGTTGTTCGGAGAGTCGGAGGATGCGGAGGTGATGGTGGCACGGTGCGGGCACCGGGGAATGGGGCGCGGCGAGCTGGGGGCCGGCGCGGACGGGGAGCGCTCGGGGCCGCGGCGGTCGGGGCGCAATGGGGTGGGGTGCGAGTGCGGGGTGGGGCGAACATCCTCGAATCCAGGCGAATAGGGCAGGCTACGAGTGCGAGGCGAGTCCTCCAGACACACGCGGACGCTGTGACGGGGGCGAGATGTGCGTGCGAGGTAGGAAAAATTAGCGGACGGGGGCAGGCTGCGCGGGCGTCAGGACGCACGCGGCCGTCCGGACATCCAGATGCTAGCACCTCCGTATATGTATACATACATACTCCATCATCATACTGCATGGCCCACACGTAAGTGAGAGAAAGAGAGGACACAAAACAGCTAGAATCCAGGGTGCCACGATCAAGAGGCTGCTTTTCACAATCTCAACATGGAAAAAACATTGTTTTGGTGCCAATGGAGATGGATGCACATTAGTCCATAAGCATCTGCAGGGACAGGATAGTTATTTATTAGTTAATTTCGATGTGTGGCACCATCCACCATTTGCACCGGTTTTCAGTCGATGCATCATGCGTGACAGTGACTCAATGACTTGATTTACACTATCTCAGCATCCGTACATGCATGTATGGCACAACACAGCTCTGCAGATATATACACGTTGGATTAGCACGCACAATTGCACGCAACGCTGCTGGTAGACCGTAGACACGCACACTCTTAACCTGCAGCTTGGACAGCTACTGCTAGCAATCGAAGGCCCACAGCTCTCGAAGCGACGTCATCGTGTTGGCCGCCGGCGCGCCGTTGGGCAGCTTCCGGTCGTGCTCCTCGCGGTCGCCGTCGCCAGCTTCGGCCGGACGACGACGATCCTCCGTCAGCGGCGTCAGGGTCGGCTTGTTGACGACGGACGACGCGGCCGTTCTCGGCTTGCTGGGCGCCGCGCTGCCGGGCACGGGCATCAGGCCGTAGCGGTAGTCCCTGCGCAGCATCTCCTTCTCCAGGTGCTCGCGGTACCTGTGGTAGACGCGGTGGTCGACGGCGACGGCGAAGTGGAGCACGTCCAGCAGCTCCAGCTCCAGCTTGTTCATCTCCGCGTTGCTCACGCCGCCCACGCGCGCGAAGAAGGCGTTGCTGTGGTGGCTGCGCGAGCGACGATGCAGACCAGTGTGAAAGTTTAGTTTAGTTTAATTTATTTATCATGGATGATTATTTGCAAATGCATGCATGACAATAACTAGTACTGTACACCAGTCATTAATACTACTAGCATTTTCTGGACTTCCAAAAGAAAAGAGAAAGCTTTGTATATGCAGCTTATCGTGAAGCTGCAGGCAGGGGCAGCTATCAATCTACTATCATGCTTTGCATATACTCCACTACTAGGCTACTTGTTCGTCTCATGTCGTTGTCAGAGTACAACAGCCAGAAGCCAATAATCAATTAATGACAAGAACCAATCGAGTATGGAGAAACAGGTACAGGTACCTATCTTTTCCCGGCTCAAGATTACTCACTAGTATTTTAATTTAACTCATCTCCATACTCTTTTTTTTTCCTGCGGTCTGTAATTATTCTCGATTCATTGTGGTACCTATTGTTTGACAATTCTGGCCAAGATAACAGATTTGGATTTTTTTTTCTTGCTGGATAAAAGGTCACCAAATAACCATGGAGTAATATATGACAATAACTAATCGAGAATAGAGAAATTCAGGCACCTTTGCTTTCTGGGCGATAAGTCACCATTTTGACGCCCCTTTCTTTTCTTTTTTTCTCTTTTTTTCGCGGCGTGTAATTCTCGGTTTTATCGTGGTCGTGGTGGCGCGCTCTGCCCTTCGGATTAAGACTAATCCTAGTACAGATGCTACTGTTGTTATGCATTGACAGCTCTTGATTCTGAAGATAACTGGGTTGGAATTCCGATCGAATTCATTCGAGGCTTTGGTAGAAAATATATATACGAACACAGTACAGTTTAAACGGTGTAATCATCATCATCGACGCAGGCAAGCGCTTGGAAGAACAAGAGGAAGAAAATAAAGGGCACTCACAAGTCGTCGAGGACCTTGGAGGCGACGAGGAGGGACGCGAGGAGGAGGCGGTGCACGTTCCTGGACGCGACGGCGGCGGCGGGCCGGCGGTGCGCGGCCATGTCCACGTAGGCGTACGCGATGACGTAGCACTCGGGGTCCAGCGCGGCGTAGCGGTGCACGCGCTCCAGGTACTCGGGCACGCCGATGCGCGGCGCCGGCGCGCCCTTCGCCGCCTCGAACGCCCGCATCCCTCTCCCTCCCCCTGCCCCGCGCCCGTCCGCCACCGCGTCGTTCCGCGCCACGAGCCGCTGCACGGCGCGCGCCACCATGACCAGCTCCTGAGGCGGCGGCGGCGGCGGGGGCGCGGCCGCGGGCGCCGTCGGGGAGTGGTCGACGCCGCCGTCGCCGTCCGACGCGGCGTCCGTGGGCAGCACCAGCGCCACGGCCGTCATTCTGAAAGGCCGCCGCAGGACGGCAGGAGGGGCCGGGACTCCGCTTGGCGGGTGTTTAACGCGGGCGCGGACGGCCGGGCCCGGGATGGGCGGATGCGGCGGGCCCAGTGGCCCAGGCCCCAGGGTGGGGCCGCGGCCGTCCGGTGAGGCGGGCTTCGACTGGTGGAGCTTTCCCCCGTTGGGCCGCGCGCACGACGGAAGCGGATAGGGTGTTACGGTCGTGGTGGGCCTTTTCTTCGCTTGGTTTGGATGCAGACAGATAAACACACGGCCGGAAGGACGAAAAGTCTTGTTCCAGCTTGGTGCCAATTTTTGTCGCCGCATCATACCAATATATGAGAGGGTATAGACCGAATGAACACCCATGTTACACTGTTCAGAGCGTAGAAAGGCAAAGTTTACGAATAATGAAAATTGGGCCTATTCGTTTCTGCTAGAAGCTCTATCAAGCGAACAGGCTCAACGTTGTTAGCATGGAACAAACTCACTGACATAAGATTTAGAGTTTCACATATGGACTGAACAGACAAATCTGGTAGAAAGAACACTTATGCTAGATTCAAGAGTTGGGACTGGAGCATGGAACAAACTCACTAACAAAATATTCAGAATTTCACATATGGACTGAACAGACAAATCTGGCTGAAAGAACACTTGTGCTGGATTCAAGAGTTGGGACTGGAGCATGGAACAAACTCACTGACATAAGATTCAGAATTTCAGATTTAGACTGAACAGACAAATCTGGCTGAAAGAACACTTCTGCTGAATTCAAGAGTTGGGACTGGAGATGGAGAAATTGTTGGCCCGCACTGGGCGCAAGTACTGATTTTAATTAACGGTTATTCCATTCATCCTATAAAAAATCAATTCTAGTTTTATTCTAACCGGTCCATACAAAAATAAATCTATAAAAATACTAATATCTTTGAACAAAATAATTATCATTATATTCATCGTGAATATATTTTCATATTATTTGAAGCTATAAGTATTGATATTTTTTTAGAAATATAATCAACTATAAGAATATTTGACTCATTCGAGAAAAAAGATTGACTCATAGAATTACACTTTTTATGGACGAGGTAGTACATGGGAGGATAGGGGTGGCTGGAGCATGACTCCCATTCGTGGGCACTGGGCAGATGGGATGATCGGCAAGACACGGTTACATACCTTGCCAAGGCAGGCTAGGTGGCCAAGTATTACCTCACCTTGCTGGGACAGCTAGGCAAGCAAAAGCTTTGATGTTTGGTTCCTGCGACTGTTCATCTTCTTGCTCAGTTGCTCCTCGTTTCTCCCATTCTTTTTCTTCCTTCGTATACCCATCTGTTGCTACTGCGAACCACAAGGAAGGATGCAAGGAAGGAACTGACAAGGCAGCACACACAGTTGGTCAGCAGCACGCAACTCAACCTTGCTCGCACGGGTAAGCCAATTTGGCTCTCCCGCACGGACAAGGACATCCTTGCTCGAATAGGTTAGCTTGCCTAGCAAAGCAAGTTTTTGTGTGCCATACCAAACAGTTAGCCTTGCTGGCCAAGGGGTCAGTTTAGATCACATTAGCGAAACTGCGTACCACTAGGGGTGTGGTAGGACGTGACGGCTCTTCCTCTATCATCAGCGACGGTCGCGACATTGATCGGCAGAGAGGCTCGAGCTTAAAGGTATGGTGACGCAATTCTTGATGCCAACGATGGTGGGGATGGAGGACTCCGGATGCGGGTGTGTGCTCCTCCTCTGTGCCCAGCTGATCGGCGAGGGCGACCATGGGATAATGGCGATGGGGATTATACATCGTGCAAGTACGGCTAGTGGAGACGTAGTCCGGTCGATTATACACCGCGCGACCACCGCTGCTCTGGAACAAAGTTTTTGTCACCTGCAAAAAGAGAAGGAAAGACACATGGGTCAGGACACGACATAGCGTGTCAACTTGGGACGCCACTTTATAGTATGTGCTAACCAACCAAGGACAACATGCAAAAGAGACCGAGAAGGTGTAGGCAACGTCACCTGCACATCTCCTGCCTTGTGCGCCCGGTAGTTTTTGGCCTCTGACTGACTCTATCTGCTCACGCCGGCTGCTCTTGTGTCCCGACTCTCCCCAACTCGGCAACTCCTTCTAAAAACTTTGCATCCTCCACATCTGAATTAGGCTCCGGCAAATGTTCGTTTGCTGTTTCGTTTCCTTTCGTGGCCGCAGCAAAGACGCCGTTGCATAGGATACTTGGCTCGTTTCTGCATGCACCTGAAAGGTGCTTTGATAATCTGACATACTATGTTTGTGAACTTTGAATATAGTACCGTTCTTAGTCAAAACTCAAAACTACCAAAAGCATAACAAAGTCTGGAAAAAGATAGCATAAGTAATTATAACATAAAATAAACGTAAAAAAATATTCTATTGAAATTTAATGGCACTTCTTTTATTTGTATAAACTTGATCAATTTTGAAATAGTTCGATTTGATACTACGCTAAAATTATAAATTTTTTTGACAAAAATGTCCAATCTAGCCAGGGAACAATGACTGGAGTGTCCTGCTACTTACCAACCACCTTGTCCTTGGTCCTTGCACGGTCATAAAAACCACCAACACATTCAAGTTTGAACCGAGCCAACATGTATGTAACACATGCATGGACAACATTAGCCATGTTTGCTTGGCTTATAAGCCATATCTTTTCAGCCAATAAATAGTATTTTTCTCTCACGACAAATCAATCAACCGTACTTTCAGCCGTAGCTTATCAGCCAAACGAACATGGCAATTGTGTGCTTAGCATAGATCATCATCATTGTGATTCTTGTTTCCACCAAGCAATTAATTAGGTACTGTGATTTATTCTCTGCTTAGCATAGACCCATCTCAGTCACGTGCTCCAGGCCACAATCCCTCCCTGGTCGCCTGGTCCCACCCAAGCATGCGTTGGGCTGTTCTGTTCCCACCGGAAACAAACGTCCAGATCTGCCTTCCCTGCTGCCGGCGTCCTTGGTGAATAGTGAGCGGGCAGGATCCGGTCGGTCCTCCCCTCGCGCGCGGGTCCCAAATTTCGAGGCTGATTGATTCAGCAGCTTTACCGCGAGGTGAAGCTTCGTGCACAACCAGCGACTGGCATTATGCGTGCGCGATTCGTTCGTTGTAATTGCTTCGGATTTAACTTACTTTCAACCGAAGGTTCCGGTAACTCTTTTCCGGTGCCGGTTAGATTTGTTACTAGTCGGCCTGGTTTAGATTGTAATTTTTTGTAATCTGGATACTGTAGCACATTTCGTTTGTATTTGATAAACTTTGTCCGATCATGGACTAACTAGGCTTAAAAAATTCGTCTCGTGATTTACAACCAAACTGTGTAATTAGTTATTTTTTTACCTACATTTAATGCTCTATACATGCGTCTAAAAATTGATGTGATGAAGAGAATGAAAAAACTTGGAATTTTGAGGCAATAGGCCTAGTACTCGTACTAACACGGCCACGCGACAGCTTTGGTTCAATTTAAATAGGGTCGAGATTGATGCAATTAGTATAATGATGAAGCATGTGTGGAAAAGTGACTTCTACAGTATGACCATGAGGCCGAGGTGTCCTCTGTGTCGGTAGAGTGAGGTTCTGTTTGTTTGGTGATCAAAATTTCTCACGTCTAACCTTCGGTAAATTATGGTGGCTAGAGAAACTTCGGCGAGCAAAATTGAAACCACACTTGTGACAAAGTTTGGCAAGAAAATGAGTTTATGTGGTGTGGGACAGGGTGCAAAAAAAGTGTGGCACGCCGTAGTTGTGGCAACAAACCAAACAGCTGCCAGAAAAACTATGACATGACTAACTTTTGGCATGGCACGTTTTGATCACGAATCAAACATGCCCTTGAATCTGCGTTTGTGCTCACTCCCTCAGCTAATTACACTACAAATGATGCCTTCTGTATACCAAAAAAAAACTGTCTTTCCAAGGTTAACTGTCCACGTGATTAAACAACCTAATTGGCACCCACAGTAGTAAAAAGTTACTCTTTCCGTCCAGAAAAAACACAATTCAGTTTTGAACGACGTGTGTTTTCTCTCGTCGGAGGGAGTAACGAATCGAATGAGTAAACGGTTGATCCTCCGAGTACACAAAATACCAACCTTAACATGTACCCAGAATAGATCCACAAGTAAAGGATCACACCCATACAAATGTTCCAGTGGCAGTCCTACACGGCTACAACAGGAAGGAGGTATAAAAGATTTCGAGTTCCTTAATTAAAACAAAAGAAGAAAAAATAAAGTAGAAAAAAGCTTAAACCAAAAGAACCGCATTGTTCGGCTGGCTGGTCAGCCCGCTCACGAAATCACTGTTCATGTGCACAGTGTTTCCAGACAGAACAGTACCTTGTTCGGCTGGTTGGTGGCTGGCTGGCCAGCCCGCTCACGAAATCACTGTTTATGTGCACAGTTTTTTCAGACAGCCAAACAAGACGGTTCTTTTGGTTTAAGCTTTTTTCTACTTTATTTTATTGTGAGAGAAAAAAACTCTTCTATCTAAAAACACTATGCACATAAACAGTGATTTTATGAGTGGGCTGCCAGCCAGCCAGCCGGCCACCAGCCAGGCGAACAAGACGGTTTTTTGGTTTAAGCTTTTTTCTACTTTATTTTTTCTTCTTTTGCTCAGACCTAAAAGGGCCCACCATCTCGTCTCACATTCTCGCAGTTCCACCCCCTCCACCTCCCCTCCCCCCTCCGCTTTCTCCATCTCGCCGGAATCTCGCCTCCGATCCGGTGGCTCGCCACCGCCGACCCGTCCCGCCGCCGCGCCGCTCCAGGGGAACCGTCCGGGGAGGCGGGGGAGGATGGAGTCGATCATAGCGCGGGCGCTGGAGTACACGCTCAAGTACTGGCTCAAGTCCTTCTCCCGCGACCAGTTCAAGCTCCAGGGCCGCACCGCGCAGCTCTCCAACCTCGGTGGGTTCCCTTCGCCCCGCTGAGGCTTCCCACCCCGGATGCAGATTTCGTTTATTTTTCTTTTTTTGTGATTCGGGTGCTGAGTTTTTGGTTTTCGGTGTGATTTGGCGGGGTTCCTAGATATCAATGGCGATGCGCTGCACGCAAGCCTGGGGCTGCCTCCCGCGCTCGCCGTCGACACAGCGCGTGTCGGGAAGCTCCAGATCACGGTAAGATAAGATGTCGCCACCCTCCCGCTCGTAACTCTCTGTATATCAGCTGCCTTGCTGTTTCTCTCTCGGGAGTCGGGGCTTATGGGCCGCATTGGTGGCAGATGCTTGCCCACGCTGCAGTCAAGTTGCCAACGTTTGATATGTTCCGGTGAATTTTGTTTCCCACCTACTCTAGTTGTACTGTGGGCAGTAGAAATCAGTAATTGCGTTGAACTTGTGATTTTGAATGTCGTTGCGATAGATTATCTTCTCAGCTAAGCAAATTAGAGTTGTAAAGGAGGGGTTTGGTGTTTTTTTAGTTTGGATGTTTTACAGTAGCCAGGGGGGTCATCCCAGCTAGATTTTGACACCTGGCGCTCAAATTGCAGTGAATTCTGAGTTTGCAGTTAACAACAACCTCACAGTGTGGTTAATAACCTTGCTTTTGTTAGTTTTGGTAACGGAATTCTTTTGTTTACCACTGCAGTTACCATCTGTATCAAATGTGCAAGTAGAGCCAATTGAGGTGAACATTGACAAGCTTGATCTCGTGCTTGTAGAGAAGGACGATTCTGAAAATCTTTCTAGCCCTAGCAGGTAAATTTCATTTCTTTCTGTCGTGATCTAAAACTATCGTGTGAGCAGTCCGTAATTGTACTTCTTTCTGTTACCTTTTTAGCACTGCATCATCTCCATCATCAGCAACTAAGAGCAGCGGATATGGTTACGCTGATAAGGTATGTTTCCTTGCGCTCGATGTTTAGCGCACACACTTTCCACATGTTTTTGCATGTAACATCACCAATATTCTGATGTTTGCTCTGTGATAACTGGAATGCCAGCTCCATGATAGCTTAAATTCAACTTATCCATTTTCTCTGTGATGATACCTCCTCTTCTCTGATATTCTGCCGTTTTACTATTATTCCTGTTTTATACTATATATACTTGCAAGAACTGAACTTAATCTTCTATGTCGGGCTTAGATTGCAGACGGAATGACAGTGCAAGTAGGGATTGTTAACCTGCTACTGGAAACACATGGAGGGGCTCGCCGTAAAGGAGATGCAACTTGGTATGTACCTATATTTCAGCATTTTGGTGCCCTTCTACAGTTCTACTATTAGTCCTTTGCATATCTCGGTTCTTGTTTGTTTGTCTTAAATTTATTCCATCAAGTAGAGTTCGCTGCAATGTTTGTGCCTGGAAAAAGGAATGCTAATCCTTCTAACTATCAGGTCACCACCGCTAGCAGCAATCACATTCCGTGATCTTGTATTGTACACAACAAATGAAAAATGGCAGGTACGCAATTGTGATTTTAGAAGAGTAAAATGCACCGGAGGTCCATTAATTTTTGTTGGGGTGTCATCTAGGTCCATCAACTTTGAAACTGTATTTTTGGGTCCATGAACTTTTAAAATGGTTCACTGCAGGTCCATACCCATTTATTTAACCTTAAATCCAACGTACATTTGCAGAAAACCCCCTACCTTTCTTTATCTTCTACGCGCTCACACCCTTCGTGCTCAACGCACCCAGGAAGTGAAGAATGGCGCACGCTAGTAGGTGAGCACACGCGGCCGAGTGCGGCGCGAGCATGTGAAGCCGAGCCAGCCACCGTGGCAAGGGCGCCGCTGCGAAGCACACTCTGGCGCTCACCCTCCTGTGCTCGTGATGCCCGTGGCGACAACAGGTTCCGGATAGCCGCCAGCGTCTCCTCGCCGTTGGCCATCATCTGCTCCATGTACAACACAGCGTCGTTGCTGAAAGTGGAAGAATGATCAACTGCACTTTGTGTTGATCTCTGGTGTACAACATATACACGTACAGGTGAGCCTTGGCTCAACGGACTCTCCTACAAAGCTGCTACGCGAGCCAGCGGCAGAGCGAGTACATGCGTGGTGTTGGCGAGCGTTGCGGATCGCGTGGTGACCGCGTCCAGCGATTACAAACGAGCTTACAAGCGGGCCCTGTGCAGACTAATTCGCTAACAACCCCCCTCAGTCGCTGCTATAGGTTTGCCAACGCAGAGTCCGTCTCGGAAAATCGTTGAAGAGCGAAGACGGCAAGCCCTTTGTGAAGATGTCCGCGAATCGGCGCGCTTCGATGATCTCAAGAACACGGAGCTCGCCGAGTGCAACCTTTTCTCGGACGAAATGAACGCCGAGCTCGATGTGTTTGGTCCGGCCGATGATGAATCGGATTGCGCGCCATGTACTCAAGAAAGCGTTGTCGCGATGCTGACGCGATCGTGGCGCCCTTGATGTGGCGGTCAGGCTCGCCAAGAAGCTGTCGTAGCCACGAAGACTTCGGCGACGGCGTTAAGCGACACCGCGCATACTTTCGGCCTCTGCTATTTGAACGCGACACCGTCATGCTTCGCACCGGGACGCGTCGTTGATGAGATTGCCGCTTGTGTCGGACGTTTTTGGGCGAACGTCGGTACCGTGTCCCGGTTGCCTTGTAGTTGCTCATGCCCGGCTCGTTCGAGGATCTCCTGGCGTATTTCTCCTATGAAAGGAAGAAGTCGCCGTCATCGCGTTGAACGTCGATCTTGAGGAAGAACCGTAGTGATCCCAAGTCCTTGATGGCGAACTCGAGCTTGAGCTTGGCGATGATGTCTTTGAAGAAGGCGCGAGGACGAGGCCGACAAGATCATGTCGTCGACGTAGAGGAGGAGATACGTTATGTCGGACGCCGGGCGGGCTAACGAAGAGGAGTTATCGGCGCGAGATTGCACGCGGCCGAGGTCGGTGACGTTCGCGACGGGAAGCGAAGAAAACCATTGGCGCGAGCTTGACGAAGACCGTAGAGTGAGCGCGAGAGCGAGCACACGTCGTTGATCGGTCGTTCGGGGTGCTCGAAGCTAGTCGGTGGTACTGCGATACCGCTTCCTGCAGGTTCCGTCAGAACGCATTGGAGATGTCCACCGATGGGCCGCCAACGCCGGGGCGCCACCAAGGTGAGTACCGTCCCGATCGTCGGTGGTTTGACGGCCGGCGAAGGTTTCGCCCAAGTCGATCCGGGGTTGGTTGAAGCCGCGTCGACCCACCTTGCCTTGTACCGGTCTAGGGTGCCGTCGGGTTCCGCTTGTGCTTGAAGACCCATTTGCCGGTGATGATCCGGCACCTACGGTCAGGCGGTCTTGGAGCGTCCACGTGTTGTTTGCTTGGAGCGCGTCGAACTCGAGCTGCATTAAGGCACGCCCGGTTGGGTGGCGCAGATGCCGCCGGACCGACGAGGAATGGGTGACGTTCTGCGGACTCCGTCCCGCAACGCGCGTTTGGGGTTGGGCTTGAACACGCCGCCCTTTGCCCATGTCACCATATGGTGGGCAGGTGCTGGTGAGGCTGATGAAGCGGAGGCTGGAGATGAAGCCGGCGTGGCCACGACGTTTGATGCGGGCGATGGTGCCGCGCTAGGCGAACCAGGCGACATCGTGGCTTCCTGGGATGACGGCGAAGCCTGAGGAAGTTTCGCATTTGTGCCGACCGCCGATGTCGAGTCTGTGAGCGGTGGTGCGGAGGACGTCGACGCTTCTGCTGCGATGTCGACGGTCACCGATCGCGAGAGCCGGCGAAACGTGCGGCGCGCCGCGTCGGATGTGGGGAAGCGCAGGTGAAACGCACCGGTGCCGCCGATCAGTGTTGTGCAGCGACGGGGCGTCGAGGTGGTAGGTGGTCGTCGAGCACGACGTCGCGCTGGGTGTTGCGGGGGCTTCTGGATCGCGCTGGAACGGAAGTCTGTTCATCAAAGACAACGTGACGCGAGGTGATCACCCGTCGCGTCGCGACGCCGTCAGGCGAAATAAGCCACGGTGGTCCGCGGGGTAGCCGATGAATACGCAGAGTGCGGAGCGGGCGTTGAGCAGGAAGGGTGAGCGCGTAGAAGATAAAGAAATGTAGGGGGTTTTCTGCAAATGTACATTGGATTTAAGGTTGAATAAATGGGTATGGACCTGCAGTGAACCATTTTAAAAGTTCATGGACCCAAAAATACAGTTTCAAAGTCGATGGACCTAGATGACACCCCAACGAAAGTTAATGGACCTTTGGTGCATTTTACTCATTTTAGAACTATAATTAATTTAGTAAATGATTTATTTGGCATTGCCTGATTTCAGTGCCATGTTTACAGGTAGTAAACTTGAAAGAAGCAAGAGATTTCTCCAACAACAAAGGGTTCATTTATGTTTTCAAGGTTTGATGCTCCTTACTTGCTTCCAGAAGATTAATACCTGCTTTTACTGTTTCCTGATCTATTGCAAACTAATACTGTCAAACTCAAAGGATTTCTGATCTCACATATATCTATTAAAATTTGCAGAAACTGGAGTGGCAATCACTGTCAGTTGATCTGTTGCCTCACCCCTGACATGTTCACCGATGCAAGATTTAACTCTTCTAGTAGTCAAGATAACAAAAGAGACGATGATGGTGCAAAACGAATGTTCTTTGGCGGTGAAAGATTTTTGGAAGGAATATCTGGAGAGGCTAATGTGAGTGCTTTGAGTTTTATTTATTATAACATGTTGTGTAAAACTCTTTAACTTGTCCATTTTACTGAACTTCCCTTTTCGGGGTTCTTGGCTAACACGTTATTTTGAACATCAGATCACGGTTCAACGGACAGAACAAAATAATCCAGTTGGGCTTGAGGTTCAGCTGCATATTACTGAAGCTGTCTGTCCTGCCTTAAGTGAACCTGGTAACCAGTTCCTATCTATGAAGCTTGACCATTCTGTTCAGTACTTCAATTTCTATTTGCAAAAATTCAAACTTAAAATTATTTTTGACAGGCTTACGGGCCTTTCTTCGATTCATGACTGGGGTATCTGTGTGCCTAAACAGGGAGATGTAGATCCAAAAGCTCAGCAGGTTTACTTCTGTGTGCTTTTGATATTGCATTGCATGCAGTAATATAGGTTTCATCTTTATCCTTATTCCTTTTCTTCCTTATTTCTCTACCAGCTTGCAGAAGCAGCAGGATCTTCCTTGGTGTCCATTATCATAGATCACATATTCCTCTGCATTAAAGATACTGGTTAGTAGTAGTGCCAAAAACTTCAAATATGTTACCTTTTGTCCTGCTATTGTGACTTGTTTGTTAAATCATTGGTGCAAACAGAGTTTCAACTTGAACTTCTCATGCAGTCTTTGTTCTTCTCACGGGTAATTTTCTCCAACTGCCATTAGATTCTACAGTATAATTTGTTCGCTGTTAATACTGTCCGCTGATGATATGCTTGATTTAGAATGCATGACCTCATAGAGGTTTTAATTAAGATTTTTCTTTGTCTTAAAGGCGAGCGTTTCAGACGGCGAATGCTCAAAGAACTTGTCTTGCATAAAGGTCGGCGGGCTGTTTCTGAGGTACTATATCTGTCCTTGCTACTCAAGACTGCACAAGTCCTGATGTTTGTATCCATTCACTTTCAAATTGAGGCACTGTGACCCTTCATGCCTAAAGTATCGAATGTCATTAGACCAATATTATTTTGATTAATGCACAGCTGAGGTTCCTCACAGTGCTGAATATAGGATACTGGGACTGTCCATGTCAAAAGTATCAAATGGCATAAAACCGTCAATAGTAACAATGACTGTATCACTTAGGTTACTCAAGGTACATATGATGTTGAAAACAGGATACTTCAAAAAACTTTTTGAATTAAAACAAGGGAATTTGGGATCTAAGCTATCAGAATGATTCAAGAACCTTTGCTGACCTCATGTACGAATATGTTACTGCAGAGACACCTTTTCTCGTCCTCCATGCACATTGATACAGCCATCTATGCAAGCAGTTTCACAAGAACCTCCACCTGTGCCTGACTTTGGTGAGTAAAGTATTTGTAATTCTTGTATCAGTAAGATATCCACATGAATATGATTTGATTCTGATCTTGATGGTTTTATCAGGTCAAAAATTTTGCCCTCCTATCTATCCATTTGGCAATCAACTATTAGAATTCGCTGCTGGAGTTCCTTTGTTTTCCCTCTATTGTCTTCAGACCACTCCTTCTCCATCACCTCCGAAGTTTGCTTCAAAAACAGTCATCACATGCCAACCTCTTACGGTACGTCGCCTTTACATTACAGTGAAGCATGTTTGTTTGGCCTTTTCTGCTTAATTAAATATTGCCTGTGCTTTTCATTCTTAGGTAACCCTCCAGGAGCAGTCGTGCTTAAGAATTGCCTCATTCTTGGCTGATGGAGTTGTACCCAATCGTGGTGCCATATTGCCTGAGTCTTCAATCAACAGCCTGACATTTTCACTTAAAGAGTTTGATCTCTCTGTTCCATTAGATGCTGAGGAAATCACAAGGTGCAGTGGAACCAAGAATACTAGCCCTCAATCATCATTTTCGGGTGCACGACTTCATGTGGAAGACGTATACTTCTGCCAGTCACCATCAGCTAAGTGCTCATTGCTAAACCTTGACAGAGATCCAGCTTGCTTCCTTCTGTGGGAGTACCAACCTGTTGATGCGAGTCAGATGAAGTGGGCTACTCGGGCTTCTCACCTAAGCCTCTCACTTGAAACTTCTAGCACTTCAAACGGACAGAGGGCAGTTAGGGACTCAAATTTGTGGAAATGTATTGAACTAGATGATATCAGATTTGAGGCAGCTATGGTTACAGCAGATGGCAGCCCTTTGTTGGATGTACCGCCTCCAGAGGGTGTTGTCAGAATTGGTGTTGCTTTCCAACAGTTTACGTCCAACACCTCAGTTGAGCAATTGTTTTTTGTGTTAGGTTTCTATACTTACTTTGGTCAAGTTGCAGAGCGTATCTCAAAGGTCAGCAAAGGTAACAGGTCTGAGTCAGTCAAGTCATCTGCTGACAAGCCAGAGAATAAATTGCCAAGTGATACAGCTGTGAGTTTAACTATGAATAACCTCCAGCTCAATTTCTTGGAATCTTTGTCAGCAAGTGATCTACATATGCCCTTGGTTCAGTTCGGTGGAGCGGATCTGTTCCTGAAAGTTTCTCACCGCACTCTAGGTGGTGCCTTTGCAGTCACGACTAACTTGATGTGGAGAACTGTCTCAGTGAACTGTTTAGAAGGAGAAAGTGCTGTGATTTGTGAGAATGGCACTGTAGTGACTGGTGAACACAGCATTCTGGTGCATGAAAATGAGCACCCCAAGATGAGAGCAGTCTTTTGGGTTGATCATAGGAGCAAACACCAGGCTAAAGAAGCTCAGTTCCTTGATATAAACATCACTCATGTAATGCCTTATGATATCCAGGATATGGAGTGCCATAGCTTGAATGTATCGGCTAAGGTATCTGGTGTTCGTCTTGGAGGTGGAATTTCTTACACCGAGTCTTTGCTGCATCGATTTGGTATCCTGGGTCCTGATGGCGGTCCAGGGGAAGGACTCTTGAGGAGTTTGAAGGATTTATCTTCAGGTCCGCTTGCGAAGCTGTTTAAATCCTCTCACCTCACTGAAAAAGAAGGTAAAGTGTTCACAACTGTGCCATTTACTTTGTTGTATAGTTCAGGGAAACTGCCTGTGTCATGATTTGAGATTGTGGTAATCAGATAGGTATATCCAACATTCCTTGGGCACCCATGATAATTCTAACTACATATTTTAGCATTAGCTGATACCAACTTCTCCACAATATGATCATGTTTAAATTCACAAACTGATGATTTCAGATCAATAACCATTTTTCATTTCCACCATCCATGGACATGTCCCACTTTCACCTCAGTCCAAGTCTGTAATATGCTAAGTATAAGTAACTATTACTATTGAAATAATGTATTATGAAGAAAATGCTTTATACTTATTTTAGATGCAGACCAAGTTCTCAATCTTTTGGTTTGCTGCATTTCCATTACATTAGTCATGGATTTCTTTTCTTTCCTTAACATTACAGATGAAAGGTCCAAAGTTGATGATCACAATTCAAAGTTTGATCTCGGGGTGCCAGATGATCTTGATGTATCAATTGAGCTTAGAAATTGGCTATTTGCACTCGAAGGAACTGAAGAAGTAGGAGATTGTTTTTCCTCTCGGGAGGTGATCATTATCAGCAGAGAAGAAAAATGCTGGCATTCAACCTTCAGAAATATACATGTCTCTGGCAAGAGCAGTGACCGACTTAAGTTGGGAGGCGGAGGAAAGGTGTCGCCCAAAAAGGCTTTTCCAGTGGAACGCTTTACGGTACAACATACATGACTTGTCATAATGTTGCATTTCAGCTTGGCACTTTCTCCTTTTGTTGTTCACTTGTTGGATGCTCTGTGCTTGCAGGCTGGAATTGAAGGTTTACAGGCAATAAAACCTCGCCTGAGAGATCAGCTCACTCGAAAAGGATCATCAAACAATCATCAAATAGCCAGTGAATTTAATAGTTCAAGTTCTGTTGGTGACCAAGGAGTTGATGTTGAAGCTACCATGGTCATCGGCGAAGACGAGATTGAGGGTGCCAAATGGACAATGGATAATGTCAAGTTTTCTGTCAAAGAACCGGTATGAACACATTTTAATCACTTGTCTAAACCTGTCACAGATTTGAATCTGCTTTCTGAACTGTTTATCCATTTGATCGTGCAGATCGAGGCAGTTGCAACAAAAGAAGAACTAGAGCACCTTGCGATGCTTTGCAGATCCGAAGCTGATGCAATGGGGAGGATCACTGCTGGAATTCTTCGTCTCCTTAAACTTGACAAATCTCTTGGGCAAGGAACTATAGAACAACTACGTAACCTAGGTATGGAGCTCCCCTCAAGTAATCTGGATGATACTGTTGTACATTCTCTGGGATTTAGATTTTTTCTTTTCAGCTCATTTTTGTCCCTCATAACTGTTCGCTATTCATTTGAGGCTAGGCATGTAACACTGTTGCATTTATGTTGGTCTACTCTTCTCATCAAAAGAAAAATGATGCTTAGTGTGGTCTTGCAACCATGTCAAAACTTCAGGTTTTCAGAACATTGGCAGGGCATTTTTTTTATGCTGAAAAAAACCCTAGATATTGCAAAATCCAAAGGATTCTACCAAATTTCCGTACCAAAAGCCAAGGACTTTTTTCATTGTTCTCAGTGCTGTAGCTTTCTCAATGCTTATTATTTCTATTCTTTCACTCCCATTACACATGCAACTTTTTACTGAGAAGAAAAAGGCTCTGCAACTATCCTTTCCCGTAGGATCCAAATGTCCTTATGAATTGTGGATTGTGCTATTACAGGAAGCGGAGGCATGGACAATATCTTTTCACCCAGGAGGCTCAGCAGGCAGAACAGTTTTGGTAGCATAGGCACTCCTCGGACTCCAACTATGCACGCCATTGCGGACGTCATGGGTTCGAAAACCACACTGGAAGCAACCATTTCCTCATTGCAAGGCGAGATTTCCGAATCCAAGGCCAAATGTGTGGCACTGATTTCCCAGGCAAGCAGCACTGAGGATCAAAACCGCGCCGAGGACATCAGGCAGCTTAGCGAAAAGCTCGAGAGCATGCAATCGTTGGTGACACGATTGAGAACTTTGATCAATTGATCCGAGTTGTACATGGGTTTTTGTGTACAGTACACAAGGTCGTCGTTCTGTCCAAACTTGGAAGTGGCAAATGCTGCTTCCTGGTGGCTGATTGAGTTATTGTTTTGTGTACATTTATATAATCTTTCTTTGGGTGGGGGTGTATAAAGGTAGAGGGGGTGGAATAATCGGTTGATAGGCAGTTGGAAGAAAATTTTGTAGGAAGCTGGAAGTATGCTGTGTAGCACTGCATCATGATCAAACAGGTCATTAGGAAGAGTGCAGTGCCATTTGTCATTGTATGTATAAAATGTGCACAGAACATTGCCTTTCGCACACAAAAACTTTTGTTCCTCCTGAGTCACTGAGTGTTCGTCTATGTATGCCACTTGCGTCAACTATCGAAGTGTTTCATCCAAGTGCCATATTATCAAACATTCAGTTTATCCTTGTTCGCTTTATCAGGTAGCCAGGTCGATCCGCCTTTCAAAAAAAAGGTAGTCAGGTCGATCCTTACGTTTTGTCAGCAGTAGTGTCTTAGTGACTGCATAACTTAAATATTTTTATTCATGTGGTTCATCCTTGATATATCGATAGGATTAATGAGCACCCTACATTATATTAGCATTTTTTTTTCGAGAAGGCCCTACAGTATATTAGCAAATGCAAGAGAAAAAAAAAACCGAAAGGGCAAAAGAACAGTAAAAAGGCCAGCCTAATATGAGCCAAAGCCCACAGACCGATTAGGTACTTGAAGTGGACTCGAGCCCAATGAAAGCCCCATCCAGATCGAATCAGCCCAATACCCGGCCCAATCTAACGGATGGGTTACCCTTGCCCACCCACCCGCCCGCCCGCAGACCCAGCTCGATGCCCAAACCGTGCCCACCGGAGTCTCGATCCCCTCCCAGCGAGGACCCAAGGTTCTCCATCTCCAGGTGACCCCTCCGCCTCGATCTCGTCGGATTTCCCAGCTGATTTCTCGGTCGAGCGGCATGTGTGCGCGTGTTTGCGAACGATTTGAGCTTCCTCCCGCCGCTTGTGATGCGATCCGTTAGTTTTGGTGATTATTGTGGAGTGCTATGCGTACGCAGATCTTGCTCTCCGTCTAGCTGTCTAGTGTGTTTCGTTCGAGATTCCTTGCTCTGCTATGGTCTCTCTGTAGCTATCCGCTTGCTGGCGATGATATTCACTTGCTTGAACCTCGATGTTGCAGTGTGAGAGTGCAGCTATGGAGCACCATATAATCCAGCAAGTCGGAGAGCATGAGGAGGAGGAGGAGGAGGAGGGATGGCATGAGAGCGGAAGCGGCATTCGAGGGGGGGTGCACAGTCACAACACGTTTAGGTACAAGCACAAGAAGAGGTCCAAGGTGTGGGAGGAGTACAAGCCCGTCTTCCTGAACAGGAAGGTTCAGTTTGCAGAGTGCCTGTACTGCCGCAGCCGCATGAGCTGCAAGGACTCCAACGGAACGAGTCATCTCTGGCGGCACCAGAAGATCTGCCCGGCCAAGGAGGACGCGGCGTTTCGGCAGCTCAAGGATTCCTACTTCCCATGTGGTATGCGCTTTTGCCTATTCAGGATTCGTGCATTAGTTCCTAGATGATTCATGTTCTCCTGAGTGACTCTGAGTCTATTAGTGCCGTGCTTGTTTCATTTCTTAAAGACGATTTACTTGTGGCATGCATGTAACCATCCAGATTCTTTATGCAGTTTTGGTGAATCAGAGTGAACCGGTTACACCAAGTGATCCGGTGAATCAGATTATTTCAGAGACACTGGACGACATAAACTCTGTAATTCCCAACAGATTCAAGTCCAAGGTGTGGAGAGAGTTTTCACCAATCTATGTCGAGGGTAAACTCCAGGCTGCAGACTGTGTGCATTGCCGCAAACGCCTCAGTGCAAATAAGTTTGGGGGAAGAAGCCATCTGAGTCGACATCTGCTGACCTGTCAGGCACGAAGGGGCTACAGTAATCAGAAGGGAACGCTTTACCCTTCTAGTGCTCCTAATTTGAAGTCCATTGGGCAAGATGAGCTCTCACCTGCCTTGGCAAATGGGAAAGTTCAGATAGCAGAACACTCCAGCAAACTCTTCAGGTCTAGTAGCTCTGCTGACACTTCCCCTATTGTCCGACCCATTCAAGTGGTGCCGGCACATCAACCTCTGCCATCACAAGATCTTCCAAGCCTGAAGAAACAGAGAACCTCATTTACGACCACAACTAGTGAAATGAGGAAGGTTGACCAAGGAGCAGCTTATCAAGAGCTAGCCAGAATGATAGTTTCGCATGGTTATCCGTTATCAATTGTAGAGCATGAAGAAATGAGAAGATTTGTAAAGAACCTCAACCCTATGGTTCATGCAGATGCAGTCTCGCACAATGATATGGAAGGACATTGTTGTGCTCTATTTCAGAAGGAAAAGGCAAAACTTAAGGATCAATTGACTCTTTCCTCCCGGCGTGTCTCTCTGTCAGCAAGCATCTGGACTCCTGATGGAGCCGAACCAACAGTAAATTACCTTTGTTTGACAGCACATTTTATTGATAACAACTGGAAAGTTCACCGAATGATAATCAAGTTTGGCATGTTTCGTCCTCACCTACTGATATGGAAAGGATGATACATTATAAGGAGGCTTGTGTGCCAGAGTCTGAATGTGGAGCATATAATGTCATATGGGATGCCATTAGAGATTGGAATCTTGATCAGAAGCTTTTGAGCTTGACTTCTGTTGGTGAGGTTAGGAATGATGTAAGTTCCTCGAAGCTGAAGGAAACATTTGTAGAGAAAAAATGCCTTCCTATCAGAGGCAAGCTATATAATGTTGCTTGTGTGGATGATGCCCTTAACACTATTGTTTCCAAAGTGCAACAAAATATCATTCACCTTATCGGTGACATGGTAACACAGTTTTTGTTGCACATGCATCTTCATCGTTGAATCAACAACAGCTTATGGAAGTCATTTCACAGATGAGTTTAAAGTGTCCACAAGAAGATGCTAAGTGGTGGCACAAACTTTATTTTCGGCTTGAAGTTTTTTGCATTTCAATAAGTCATTTCCTTCTGAAGAAGCAGCATCTCCAGAGGATGTCATAGTTGCTGAGTCTATTTGCAAGATTTTGAGGACGTTTTATCGTGTTATTGAAGTCATTTCTACCTCTAGTTCTCCGACAGCAAACATGTACTTCAATGAGATATGGAAAGTGAGAACAGTTTTGCAAGAAGAAGCATCAAGTGAGCACACAGAAATCACTGTGATGGTTACAGAGATGCAAGAAACATTCAATGAGTACTGGCAAAATTCGTACTTGTGGTTATGCATACCTGTTATTCTAGACCCTAGATTCAAGTTCAGTTTCATTGAGTTCCGTCTGAAACGAGCTTTGGATTACAGTCAGCAAGCTACTTATCTGACATACGCGAAACACTCCAGGAACTCTTCAATGAATACTGCAGTTCAGTGGATCAGCCGAATGGGCGTGTGCCAAAAGCGAAGCTTTTGATATAGACTATAGTGACTCATTTGAAGATTGGGATCAGCACCTCAATGAGCAAGCGAGCAGGCAGAAATCCACAGAACTCGACAACTACCTCGAGGATGGTTTGGTTCCAAGGAAGGATGATTTTGATATCCTGAACTGGTGGATGTGTCACGCCACAAAGTACCCGGCGCTTGCAGCTATTGTGCAGGATATCCTGGCGATGCCAGCATCTGCTGTTCAATCCGCAGCAGCATTCACAAGCAGTGGACCAGTAATTCCAAAGCACCACAGCATGTTAAGCATCAAGACCATCGAGGCACTTGTTTGCACTCGAGATTGGACGAGATAAAGCGGTAAGATCATGCTGTACTCTGTATAATCCTAGATTTAAACATGATGTGCCTGCTTCAGAACTTCTATTCCTTATATCTTTGCCTATAAACATGATGTGCTGCTGACCGAGAAAACTTGCCACCCAGATTGTGCACCCTTGCTGGAGTGAACTCTGAACAACCAAAGCCGGGATGCAGTTTTGTCCAGGGGATGGTCCCAACCAGTGGGTGCACATGTCGATGATCCAGTCCCCTGCCAGGGTTGGGTGGTGATTGGTGAATCAGAGATTTGGTAGGTGTAGCTGACTTGGTTTCATGTGTATATACCAGCCATGTCATTTGTTCGATGTAGTTGCAGATGTTTCTCCCGTCTCCATAGTCAGATTCAGATTAGGGTGATTGTATGTATGAGGGGTCTATCTGTGGCCCAAAACTGAGCTAGGCTAATGTAATGTTGCAGGCATGCTTTATTGCTGAACTTGAACCCTTCTTCTGGAGTAGCAGTCCTAGTGACTAAACCAGTTCATTACATTGGGTTCGCAGTTGAAAGAATATATATAGGCTGTTGTTGTGCTGTAGTTGCCACTCGTTGCTTTACAAAATCACATTGTTATCACTACTACTACAGTAATAGTAGTTATTAGTCGTAATCGCCTCTACTAGTAGTGTCTGGTCCCCTAGAGGAAGTCTATGCTGCAGCGCTTCTGCAGGTACTCGGCCAGCAGCTGGCCGTCGGGTCCCACGGCCACCTCGCAGCGGACATTGAGCGGGTGCCAGTGCCGGTTGCCCCAGAACGCCAGGCGCGCGCGGATCCTGGACCTCACCTTCACTGTCATCTCCACCCTGCCGCCGGCCTCCGCGGCGTCCCGTGCCATGTCCACGCCGGCCGCCGACGCCGCCATGCCCTGGAACGCGAGGGGCGACGTCGTCTTGGGCGGCTGGTACAGCGGCGCCGCCGTCAGGGCCTGGTCCTTCACCACGTCGGCGCCGCGGTACTCCACCGAGAGGTAGAATCGGTCGTAGAAGAAGGCGATGTCCCGGTTCGGGTTGCGGATGGAGAGCTGCCCCGACAGCGCCACGGTGCCGCCGCCTGCGCCGCCTGC